TCCCTTTGCCCCCCAGCTCCTCTGAGTGTATCTTTTTCCCCCAAGCTCCTGTGTGTCTTTGTCCTCCCTAGCCCTTATGTTTGTCTGTTTGTCCATTGACCCCCCTCCCATTGTGGTCTCTCGCCCACATCTGTTTACCTTCATGTAGTGTGACCAAGCATACTGCAGGTAGAGGATCTTCTGTTTTCTCCACCTGGTATAACAGGAAACTGCTCATTGCGCTCAGCGAACAGTTCCTATCAGACCAAGTAGAGGATACAAAAGAAGCTTTATTGCTAGTCACTCGGCACACTGATGAAAGATGCATTTTATGCACCGAATTTACATTAGGTAGTGTGAAACACTGTTCTGTGCTGCTTAATTCCCATGTGCTAGGGGGTGCAATAAGCCCCCCGGTACAGAATTAAAATTATCTCTGAATTTGAAGTGTTTCAAACAGAAAGACTTCTGCCACAATGACCACTTCAAATCACTGAAGTAGTCATGTTAGTTGGAGTAACCCTTTAAGCTAAAAAGGCACATTATAAGTGCTGAAAACAGGCACCAACTCTGCCTAATGGGGAATCCAGCCCTGTGTATACCAAACATGTATATTTTGAATGCAAGGAATATTTTTGCACCCTGTTCTTTTATTGGAACTTTGAATTCAAGTATAATCAACAGATTCAGAGATACTTCTCATAAAATACATTAATTATCTAAAATCCAAGTCACATTAGTCATGTTTTGGACGTAAAAACCCAAGGGCAGAGTACAGAATATTTGATAGAGTCCTAACCTCAACATATGAGGAAAGGGATTTAGGGGTGATTATTTCTGATGACTTAAAGGTAGGCAGACAATGTAATAGAGCAGCAGGAAATGCTAGCAGAATGCTTGGGTGCAAAGGGAGAGGTATTAGCAGTAGAAAGAGGGAAGTGATCATGCCATTGTACAGAACACTGGTGAGACCTCACTTGGAGTATTGTACACAGTACTGGAGAACGTATCTTCAGAAGGATATTGATACCTTAGAGAGGGTTCAGAGAAGGGCTACTAAACTGGTTCATGGATTGCGGGATAAAACTTACCAGGAAAGGTTAAAGCATTGTGATAAGGTGAATGGGGTGGTCTGTGAGGGAGTCTATATCTCGACAGAATTGTTCAGAGAGGCATATGATTTTTAACCCCAGGGGGAGTTTATGTTTCTGTGTATGTAACCAGAATTCATATTTAGTTATGGGCCCCTGGGGTGGAGCATTTGGAGAACAGGGTGGGCCAGTGCTCCACTCTGCAGTTTAGCAGTTTTCTTGGAAGACATAGATCCAGCCCAGGGTTTTGGACTGTCTCCAACCTACTGCTCAGCTGCAGGTAATCGGCTGCAGCAGTGGGAATAAATCCCTCCCTGCTAGGCAGGTAGGAAGAGAATGTTTTGTTTCTCTCTGAAAGGCTGGAAGCAGCAGGCTGGCTAAATACTGGAGTGCTGAGAGTGGACAAAGACTCTAGGTTGGTGACACCACATTGTTTTGTTTAGTTTAACCCTGAGAGATAGGGAACCTAATGTCAGTTAGTGCTCAGACGAGCTAGGTTTTTGTTTATAAGGTTTTGTGTTACATTTATGTTTTTCATTTATTGCTGTATCCTGTGTGGATTTAAAAATAAAGTGCCTGGAGTATATGCAATTACAAGGACTGTGCATGTTTTTGCCCTAGAGGACCGTGCTACCTGCCGACAAGGATCACAGCATCTTAACATGTACAGGGAGTGCAGAATTATTAGGCAAGTTGTATTTTTGAGGATTAATTTTATTATTGAACAACAACCATGTTCTCAATGAACCCAAAAACTCATTAATATCAAAGCTGAATATTTTTGGAAGTAGTTTTTAGTTTGTTTTTAGTTTTAGCTATGTTAGGGGGATATCTGTGTGTGCAGGTGACTATTACTGTGCATAATTATTAGGCAACTTAACAAAAACAAATATATACCCATTTCAATTATTTATTATTACCAGTGAAACCAATATAACATCTCAACATTCACAAATATACATTTCTGACATTCAAAAACAAAACAAAAACAAATCAGTGACCAATATAGCCACCTTTCTTTGCAAGGACACTCAAAAGCCTGCCATCCATGGATTCTGTCAGTGTTTTGATCTGTTCACCATCAACATTGCGTGCAGCAGCAACCACAGCCTCCCAGACACTGTTCAGAGAGGTGTACTGTTTTCCCTCCTTGTAAATCTCACATTTGATGATGGACCACAGGTTCTCAATGGGGTTCAGATCAGGTGAACAAGGAGGCCATGTCATTAGATTTTCTTCTTTTATACCCTTTCTTGCCAGCCACGCTGTGGAGTACTTGGACGCGTGTGATGGAGCATTGTCCTGCATGAAAATCATGTTTTTCTTGAAGGATGCAGACTTCTTCCTGTACCACTGCTTGAAGAAGGTGTCTTCCAGGAACTGGCAGTAGGACTGGGAGTTGAGCTTGACTCCATCCTCAACCCGAAAAGGCCCCACAAGCTCATCTTTGATGATACCAGCCCAAACCAGTACTCCACCTCCACCTTGCTGGCGTCTGAGTCGGACTGGAGCTCTCTGCCCTTTACCAATCCAGCCACGGGCCCATCCATCTGGCCCATCAAGACTCACTCTCATTTCATCAGTCCATAAAACCTTAGAAAAATCAGTCTTGAGATATTTCTTGGCCCAGTCTTGGCGTTTCAGCTTGTGTGTCTTGTTCAGTGGTGGTCGTCTTTCAGCCTTTCTTACCTTGGCCATGTCTCTGAGTATTGCACACCTTGTGCTTTTGGGCACTCCAGTGATGTTGCAGCTCTGAAATATGGCCAAACTGGTGGCAAGTGGCATCGTGGCAGCTGCACGCTTGACTTTTCTCAGTTCATGGGCAGTTATTTTGCGCCTTGGTTTTTCCACACGCTTCTTGCGACCCTGTTGACTATTTTGAATGAAACGCTTGATTGTTGATGATCACGCTTCAGAAGCTTTGCAATTTTAAGAGTGCTGCATCCCTCTGCAAGATATCTCACTATTTTTGACTTTTCTGAGCCTGTCAAGTCCTTCTTTTGACCCATTTTGCCAAAGGAAAGGAAGTTGCCTAATAATTATGCACACCTGATATAGGGTGTTGATGTCATTAGACCACACCCCTTCTCATTACAGAGATGCACATCACCTAATATGCTTAATTGGTAGTAGGCTTTCGAGCCTATACAGCTTGGAGTAAGACAACATGCATAAAGAGGATGATGTGGTCAAAATACTCATTTGCCTAATAATTCTGCACTCCCTGTATAGCTTGGAGGAAAGACGAGACAGGGGGGATATGATAGAAACATTTAAATATATAAAGGGAATCAACACAGTAAAGGAGGAGACTATATTTAAAAGAAGAAAAACTACCACAACAAGAGGACATAGTTATAAATTAGAGGGACAAAGGTTTAAAAATAATATCAGGAAGTATTACTTTACCTAGAGGGTAGTGGATGCATGGAATAGCCTTCCAGCTGAAGTGGTAGAGGTTAACACAGTAAAGGAGTTTAAGCATGTGTGGGATAGGCATAAGGCTATCCTAACTATAAGATAAGGCCAGGGACTAATGAAAGTATTTCGAAAATTGGGCAGACTAGATGGGCCGAATGGTTCTTATCTGCCGTCACATTCTATGTTTCTATGTTTTCATTGCATAGTTTAATGCAGCCAGCACAACCAATTTCTTTCTTATTCACTTTTAATCACGTACACCATACACCCTAATGCAGCCAGAGGGACAGCTGCTGAAGAAGATCGAAAGGTCTCCTTGACTGGTACTGTGTCTCTACCCCCACCCCCCAGAAGCCGCAGGCCCCTGGTCCTGAGAGCTTGAACATGGTGTGCACTTCCAGGCCAAGTTCTCCACTTCTGCTACTGTATTAGAGTGTTGCAAACATGCTGCAATTCCTACCTTACCACCAGAGATCAGCATTCCTACCTCCCTGGCCCAAGGTAAATCTCAACAAATGTTGTTGCTTTTTGTAACGTTCCACTCAGCCCCTTATCTATTCCACTATATCCCCTAACCACATTAAACTCCACACTACAGCTCCTAACCCCTCACTTTGGCCTCTAATCCCCCACTGCTGCTCCGAACCCTACACTTAAGCTTCTCACCCCTTACTACTGCCTCTAACCCCCACCACTGCACATATCCCCACTAATACCCTTAACTCCACATCACATTACCACACACACTCATAACGCCCCAAACTTATCACACCTACAACACACAGCGAAAGCCACAACACACCTTACACACAGATTCAACACTTACAGTCACCTTACACCTACACAAGACACACGCCCACACCACATATAAACTCTACATTTTAATAAATATTCACATTAAATCACATTAAAAAAATAACATAGGTACATAATTTCCCAGTGCACAGGCTAATGAATTGGGCTGTGCATGTCTTTGTGTATAATTGTTAGGGTTTCCCAAATTTTAACCTGAGATAAATACTTTTTAAATGCATCTCTGTTTAGAAAAAGTATCTCTGCTTAGAAAAGAATTACCTTTATTAACCTCAATTAATATTAGTGTTTGCCTTTCAAACCAATAAATAAGGACATCATTGTAATCATTGTACTGAAAATAATAGTTAAAAAAAAAAAAAACAAGAACAGAACAGTCTACAGTGTCACCATTAAACCTGCATCTTTCTTAATTTGTTTTTATATCTTTTAATGCAAAATAACACATATTTCAAATTACTTTTCAAATGCAGAGTGGCTAGAATAACCTGTTCTATTGGATTATCCTACGTTAACTGCAGATTGGATAATAAAATTGCACACAGCTGAAATTTATTGTAAATACAGATAAATACAGATAAATTAAAACAAAAGTTATTTAAAAAAAAAAGGATAATTTAGCTAAAGTACAACATAAAAAGTATGTGTTTAATAGAGAGTGCATCAAATAAATAACTATTGTCCTGACATATAAGTACAGAAATAGCAATGTTCACTAACTCACCTTGTGTGCACAGTTGCTGTCCTTGATATGTTTGATTTGTTAAATTGTTTAATCTAAGAAAGGCTTGATGACTTTTCTGTGGTTTTAGCACAGAGTTTGGTAACATTATTTTTCTAATGAAAGATATTTAATGGCATGTAAAATATTTCAAATAGTATCAATATTAGTAAGTGAACTCCAAATGTGTACCAAGTAAGAAAAATAATAAACATATATGTATGAGTTTAGATAAAACAAAACGAGGTATGAATGGCGCTACTGAAATGATTGCACAGGTATTCCCAATGCCACTGATCACCTAATGTGGCACAATAAAATACATACAATACACAAGTAAAAAGTGGGAAGTGCAAATGGAAAAGAAACAGTAAATACTTACAGTTGCAAGAAAAAGTATGTGACTCCTTTGGAATGATATGGATTTCTGCACAAATTGGTCATAAAATGTAATCTGATCATCATCTAAGTCACAACAATAGACTTAAACTAATAACACACAAAGAATGAAATGTTGCCATGTTTTTATTGAACACATTATGTAAACATTCACATTCACAGTGCAGGTGGAAAAAGTATGTGAACCCTTGGATTTAATAACTGGTTGAACCTCCTTTGGCAGCAATAACTTCAACCAAACGTTTCCTGTAGTTGCAGATCAGACGTGCACAACAGGAGTAATTCTTGACCATTCTTCTTTACAGAACTGTTTCAGTTCAGCAATATTCTTGGGATGTCTGGTGTGAATCGCTTTCTTGAGGTCATGCCACAGCATCTCAATCGGGTTGAGGTCAGGACTGGGCCACTTCAGAAGGCGTATTTTCTTCTGTTTAAGCCATTCTGTTGTTGATTTACTTATATGCTTTGGGTCATTGTCCTGTTGCAACACCCATCTTCTGTTGAGCTT